AGGGGACCACCACGTCGCTATCCAGTACAACGTCACTGAGCGCTCCCATGCTGGCCACCACGACGGAGGTGAACACTACGTCGGTAGACAGTACGACAAAGGCGATCACCACGTTGTTACTGTTGATCCCGCTGGGCTACCCGTGGCGGTGCCCTACATGTTCGACTAGGATGCCAGGTACCATTATAATGTCCACCGACACGGAGCCGGATATCATCAAGCATTACGGATTGTCACGCTGCCATTGTTGTCCACCATGACTGGGTGGTTTAGCACTATGCCGGGACCCAACACTATGGAGTCGAACGTTACCACGGTGTTCACCACGAAGGTCTCGAGCACCACCCCGCTATCTCGTCTGGGCCGAGAGCTACCAACGCGTCCACCTGGACAAAGTCGAGCACCACAGAGCTATCCAGCACCACGGACTTGTGGTCAGCCACTTGCGGACAGCATGACGGTTCCGTTATCATGGTGTGGAACAGCACGCAGTTAGTGCAGGCTCAGCCAGCCGCACAGTTAGGCAGCCACCACCGCCTCAGTAGCGTGAGGACGACCAGGGGAGTCAATCAAGCCCAGCTCTGTGGATGCTTTTTGGCTGTGGGGGGGCTCTGGGTGGGTGTGTTGGCGGGTCGTCCTTTTGTTTCCTGCAGGTTTCCTTGCCCTCGGGACTATTCGCCGCCTCGGTATCCAGTTCGACAGAGTCGAGCACTTCCACTTCGTCCACCACAATGTCTAGATGCAGTCAGTGACGCCTACACGTGGCGACATGAAGTGCGCCATGTTTGTTTTTCATAGTCGATATGCCAATCTACACGCCCATGTGCTGCCACAGCCTGCGGCGCGAGGGCGCGAGCGAGCTTTCTCCTCGTCCTGGCCGTGTCTCACGGTTTTTATGGTGATGCGATTCGATTCGCAGGGCCAGCTGATGTGTGACAGGCGCAACAACGGTCGGAGGTAGTGTTTCTCGGGGAAGCTTGATCCCGAGACGTGGGACTCGTGAGATCCCGATCTCATTCCCCAGGTCTGGCTCTTCCCTTCCTGGGCGCTTTTTTGTAGACGGTCAGGAACGCTAGCTCAGCGTGTCGCGCCGCCGGTTCTGGCCCACCAGGCTTCGGTGCGACAGCAGAGCACGTCCCGGACACGCGGAGCACGATGCCCGAGCTTCTCCCACCCTCCCGCCCCACGAAGCAGAGCGGCACGCTGTCAGCCCGCAGGGCACGGCGCGTCGCGGCTCCGGCAGCTCCGGCGGCGCGTCGCGGCCGCCGTGGCCCGCCTCGGCGGCTGCGAGCTCGCGGAACTCCTGGGCGCCATGGCGGAGGAGGAGGAGGAGGAGGAGGAGGAGGAGGAGGAGGAGGAGGAGGAGGAGGAGGAGGGGGAGGGGGAGGGGGCGGGGGAGGAGGAGGACCATCATCATAACCATCGCCGTCGTCGTCGGGGCGCGTGGCCGCCGGGGCCGCTGCCGGGTCGGGCCAGGGCGCGCGCCTTCCGCGGCGCGCCGGAGCGCCGGCGGCGGGCGCCTGTCGCTGGCCACGCCCGCGCGCTCGCTCGTGCTGGCTCTTGCTGCTGCTTCTCCTCCTGCCCCTCTCCTCCTCTTCTGCTTTTGCCTCCTCCTCCTCTTCTGCCTCTGCCTCCTCCTCCTCTCCTCCTCCCTCCCCTCCCTCCCCTCTCCTCCTCTTCCGCTTTTGCCTCTTCCTTGGCCCTGGCCACGGGGCGACTTCTCTGCGTCGGCAGAAGAGTGTCGCGGGAGCCGCCGCCGCGACGCGCTGAGCAATGCTCCCGAGGCCCCCGGAGTCGGCCACCCGAGGGAGAAGCTCTCGACGCCACACATGCTTCCCGCAGGGCTGGGCGTCGCAGAAGATCGCAGGCGATTTTTCTCCCCCCCCCCCCCGACCTTCTGACGAAGAATGAAGAGGTTCAGAAAAGAGGGGAAACCCTCGGGTACACCCCCTGTGGGCTCTTCGGACGCACCCTTGTTGAGGATGGACACCCCCCCTCGCATATCCCAGGGTTGGGCCCCAAATTTGCGGTCCAGTCGAAAACCTCCCAGCGCCTGGGGTAGGGGTCGACACATCCCCTGTTGTCCGCGCGGACCTCCGAAAATTCATGTGTCTATCATGATGGTGGCGATGATGATGAGGATGATGCTGCCGACGATTGTGATGATCCTGATGCCGCCGACGACGACGGCGATGATTATGATGATGGTTATGTTGCTGATGATGATGATGATGGTGATGATGATGATGCTGATACTGATGACGATTATTATTATATTGATGATGACGACGGTGACGGTGACAATGGCGATGCTGATGATACTGCTGATTATGATGATGATGCTGCTGCTGATGATGATGATGATGATGATTACGACGACGATGATGATGATGATGATGATGATGATGATGATGATGATGATGTGGGTGCGGATGATGATGATGTCTACGATGATGATGAGGACGATGATGATGCTGCTGCTACTGTCGGCTTTGATGATGGTGATGACGTTGATGATGCTGTTGATGATGCTGATGATGCTGATGGTGATGATAATGATGATGGCGATGGTGGTGATTGTGATGATGATGGTGGTGATGATGATGATGAAGGTGATGATGATGGTGATGATGATGATGGTGATTCTGATCATGCTGATGAGCGTGATGGCAATGGTGATGCGGCTGCTGCTGCTGATGATCATGATGATGATGCTGATGGTAATGATGATGCTGATGATGACGATGACGATGATGATGATGATGATGATGATGATGATGATGATGATGATGATGATGATGATGATGATGATGATGATGATGATGATGATGATGATGATGATGATGATGATGATGATGATGATGATGATGATGATGATGATGATGATGATGATGATGATGATGATGATGATGATGATGATGATGATGATGATGATGATGATGATGATGATGATGATGATGATGATGATGATGATGATGATGATGATGAGGGGAGGAGGAGGAGGAGGAGAGGAGGAGGAGATGATGATGATGATGGATGATGATTATGATGAGGAGGATGAAGAGGTGGCGGAGGAGGAATGGGGGATGAGGAGGAGGAGCAGGAAGAGGAGGAGGAGGAGGAGGAGGAGGAGGAGGAGGAGGAGGAGGAGGAGGAGGAGGAGCAGGATGACGAGGAGGAGGAGGAAGTTGGGAGGAGGGGGAGGAATTCGGGAGGAGGAGGAGCTGGAGGAGGAGGTGGTGGAGGAGGAGGAGGAGGAAGAGGAGGAGAGGAATAGTACTGCGGAGGATTACGAGGACGGGCGCGAGTAGATGAGGGAGGAGGAGGGGGAGGAGGCGAGGGAATAGGACTGTCAGGAAGAGAATGGCGAAGTGGAGGAGGGAGGCCCAGCCAGCGGCGCGAAGCCCGCCCCCCCCCCGCACCGCGAGGCGGCGGCGCCTCAGCATCGGCGGCGCCGGGACCGACGCCGAGCAGCCCACGGCCGAGGGGGTGGAGGAGGACCAGCGCCGCGCCGGGAGGCACAGTCAGCCCGCACATATATATATATATATATATATAGGTTGGGCAGCCCACTTCCAGGCCTCCTGGATGGTGTCCGAGTAGATGGGTCGGAGGATAGCGCCGCATCGCCGATGCATCGGCGATGCGGCTTGGGGCCCAGTTTTCTCTACGCCTACGTCGCCGATGCATCGCCGACGTCGCCGATGTATCGGCGATGCGGCGAGATCCTCCGACCCCATCTGTTCGGACCCCATCTAGGAGGCCTCTGGAGGTATCGCTGGTTGCGAAGTGAACGCCCATGTTGGGTTTACGTTGGTTTCGTGTCGTGTCGATGCGTTGCGACCCCAGCGCGGGCGCTCAAGATTGAGCGCCGAAAGTGGCCCATCATCGGCCAATATGGAATGATCTGGCAATCGAGAATCTGCCGATCGCTCAAGCTTAAGCGACTCACTTGGTGTAAGAGACTAACGCCGGGCTGGTCATCGCACGAGCTTGCAGTAGGCAGCAAGACATCGAAACACGAAGCCCTCCGCCCCCGCACTGCAAGGTTGATGGGGAAGTGGTGGGCCCTTCCACAGACGTTGCGCTTGCTTCGCAGAACTTCGCGCTTCCTTCCCGCGCCAGTCGTCCGCCAGCTTTGAGGTGCGGGGTGCCGGGAGGGCCCTCTCGGGTCTTTCGCTGGTGGGCGCCTACGTCGCACACGGCAGCATCTCATGCCAGAGGTAGGTCAGGTGCAACGTGCGTGGCGGACAGGCTCAGGGGTTTGGGATGCCTCGGCCCTCAACCGCTCATTGATCGACTACACGTTGGAGCGACCCTTCGTCGGAGTGACCTTCGGTGCCCTCCCACTGGGGACTCCCGTTCGCCTCGCGCGCTCGTGTTTGGTCCCCTCGCGGCCCTAGAAACGCCGTGCACCAAAGGCCACCACCTATCGCTACCCCTCATGGACGAGCGTCATGTTCGCTAACGGCTGCAAGGTTCTTCGCAGGCGATTTTCATCCCACATGGGTAGCCTTTGCTACCCTCCAAAAGCCTCTGGCTGCTTTTCCAACGCTTCATCGACTCAGATTCGATTGCGCAGGTCGTGAGACTCAGCCGCTGACGCGTGAGAGCTGGCATGCGTGCAGAGCAGGGGCTTCCGAGGTCTCTGAGAGGCCACGAAGAAGTTGCAATCATCATGGCCTTGCGTGTGCAGGCCTGTGGCCCATCCGGGTGGCCGTCATGAAGCGATTCGGTACTGAGGGGAACGGGCCCTGCAGGTGGTTCGCCGTTTTCGGCTTCCAGACCGCGGTGCCGTGTCTTCAGGTCGCCCGCTTCGGCGTCCGGGGGGCCGCGCTCGGGCCCCGGGGCAGTCGAGCCACGATCCTTTTGGAGAGGGTCGAGAGCTCCAGGGCCTGCGTCGTGAAGCAACGCTGACGCCTGCGGCGCGAGCATGAGCGCGAGGGGAGCGGAGGGGAGGGGGGGGGGACTGGAGCTGCAAGGAAGGGAGTGGGGTCCGCAGCAGGCTGGGCCCAGGTCGGCGCAGCCTTCGCCCCGGCGACCGCGGCGCCATGCGCAGCCACGCGGGCCGCGTGGGCGCGTGATCGCACGCCCCTTTTTTCCGGTACCTGCCATACACGACACCGCCATGCGCGCAGCGGGCGCTTTCTTTCCGCGGCTTGGGCTGTCCCCAGACCCCCGCCGCCGTGATTTCAGATCTCTCACCCTGTGGGCACCTAGGAGGAGGTCTGGACCCCCTTGCCAGGGACCAGCTCTTGATTCCGAGTCGATGCCTGACGCTCCCGAGGCCGGGCATGGGCCCCTCGAGGCCGAACGTAGAGTTCGACTACATGTAAGAGTGACCCTTCGCCAGAGTGACCTTTGGTGCGGGATCACTGGGGCCCCCCCGATCGCTGAGCGCGACGCGATAGCGGCGGGCTGCGCGCTTGGGTTTGGCCCCCTCGCGCCCCCCAAAAGCCGCGCACCAAAGGTCACTCTTGCCCAGGGTCACCCTTGCGTCTACAGGCGGTCCGGATTAGTAGGTCGACCCTGCCAGCTCAAGGGTACCCTCGTGTCCTGTGTCTCGCGACCCATGCCTCCTACATTCCTGTGGCAGTGTGCCCCTCGGAAAGGGTCGTTTGTCCTCTCGTGTGTCCTGTTCAATCAAGTCCGACCGTAGCCGAAAAGGTGAAGCGTCCCGTGCTGCTTTGTTCACGGCGCGAGGGGGTCTGGGTCTTGGGCCTGTTACCTGGCCTCCGCCCGCGCAGCGCGCGGCGGGCCCTGCGACTCCCAGCTCTTCCAGGCCGGGGCCCGGCCCGGCAGCCCCCGCGCTCGCCAGCAGGGCCCCCCCGAGACCTGCTTCTGGGCCGCAGGTGATGGGCCCGTTTTCCACCACCACCACCACCACCACCATGGGTTGGAGGGGGGGAGAGGAGGAGGAGGAGGAGGAGGAGGAGGAGGAGGAAGAGGAGGAGGAGGAGGAGGAGGAGGAGGAGGAGGACATGGAGGTGGTGGAGGAGGAGGAGGAGGAGGACATGGAGGTGGTGGAGGAGGAGGAGGAGGAGGACATGGAGGTGGTGGAGGAGGAGGAGGAAGAGGAGGAGGAGGAGGAGGAGGACAGGGAGGTGGTGGAAGAGGAGGAGGAGGGGAGGAGGGAGGAGGAGGAGGACTCCCTCCCCCTGCAACGTATGGTGGTGGTGGTGGAAAGCAGGCCCATCAGCAGGGCCTCGCCGAGACGGCGGCGGCTCCAGCCTCGGAGGGCGCCAGCCGTTCTCACGGGGCACCGGGGCCTGGCCAGGCGCGCCCTGGGCCCAAGAGAGCGGCGCACACGCCCTCCTGGCTTGGTTCAAGTCGGGCCTGTCCCTCTGCACGGGGAACATTCAAACATAGTAAGAAAATAGTCGGGGGACGATTTTTGAGCATTGTTTTGCCATTTTGAGGTATTTTTTACTATTTTTCATTTCTCGTCCAAAATTCCCCTGTAGGAGGACAGGCCCGACTTCAGGCTTGGTCAGGGAGGCATGTTCACCGACCTCGGGCCCGCGATGGGCCTGGTCGGGGTCGGTGCGTGTGCGTGTGTTTGTGTGTGTGTGTGCTTCCGCGCGGGCGTTCCCGTCCTGCCTCGCGTTTTGTCCTCGCCGGCCTTGCCGGTGGCACTTCGCACCCTGCCTGGCCCATCCACATGATGACTGTCGTCGCTGGCCTGCTGGCAGCTTCCCCTCGTTGCTGCCCGTGCCCAGGCGTGCGCATGGCATGGTCGATCCCCTCGCGTGGATCCGTGCCCCAGCTTCCTGCGGGGCCAGCCGCGCGCGCGCGTCTTTCTTCTCTTGCTCTCCGGCCTTCCACGCCTGGGCACTGCGTGCTGTGGCCGCGGCTCCCCAAAAAGAGTGTCAGGGGCAACCGTAGGGGGGGATAGGCATAGGGGGGGATGCATCGGCCCCCAATCGCCCGTGGATCGCCGATAGGGGCCCAACAGCCCCAACCTGCCCAAGAACATGCGGACTCACTATCGGGGGCCTACTCGCCGATCTGTCAGCGACGTGTCGTTGATTCCAGGTGATTGCTTCCCCCCCTATGCCTACCCCCCCTATCGTTGCCCCTCAGTGTGTGTGTGTGGGTGTGTGCATAGTTGGCGCCCTCCGACAGCCGCGAGTCCGAGTGCAAGCGCGACTGCGTCGAGCGGGGTAGGGTCTGCCCCTTCGACGAGGGCGGGTCCTGCTCCTGCGCGCCGGAGCTCTTCCTTAGATGCTCGCTCCGAGGACCTTCCTGGGGCCCACTTGAGGCGTTCCAGAAATGGCCTTGCCTTCAAGGATCGCAGGAGTTGTCATCTCTTCCTCGGCGGAAGGCTGCGGAAGTGTGGAGGAAGGTCAGCGGAGGTAAAAGAAGGCCGCCTCCGTCAGCGGAGGTCGGCGGAAGGGCGGCGGAAGGTGGCGGAAGCAAAAGATGCGTCCCCGAGAGATGACAACATGTTTAGGTTCAGGGTATCCAAAATCCGGCTACGTGACGGCCCTGGGTCAGCTCTGGTTCGGCTCTACTCCGACTCTAGCTCGACTCAAGGTCGGCTCAAGCTCGACCCAGGTTCGACTCAGGTCGATGGGCGTTCGACGCAAGATGGACGCCCGAGTTGAGCGAGTGGCCCCAGAAGTGTCCCCGGAACGAGCGTCTAATCCTCCCGCCGCGGGGCGGGGGCGAGCTCGCGACTGGCGTGTCCCCCCGGAGCTCCGCCGAGGCCGGGGCGGCGGGGATGCTCGGCCTGAAGCGGGTGCGCTTCGTCGCGCAGCGCGCGGCGTCGCCGAGGGAGTGCCTCGGCAACCTTACGAGGACCGTCTCTACCCACCAAACCACCCCGACCCAACCCCGAGGCCCCAAGTTGCTCGCCATTCTCAGTGGGGGGGGGCGTCCCGGAGCAGTGAAGGACACATATGAAGCCCGTGCCGAAATTTGAGATTTCGGGTTGGGCTGGGGTGGCAGGTAGTCAGGCCGAGGAAGAACAGCATGGCATGAAGATGAACTTTCAGAACTTCGTGTGGATTTCCTGGATCTGTGCGCGCACCAGTGGCGAGGCCGCCATGGGGCTCCAGCGCAGAGCCAAGAAGTCCGCGCGGAGCTACGACAGGCTATTATGCTTATGATTTGTTTGACCCTCTCGAGGAACAGCACGTACACGGTGCTGCTCGTGTTCGCGGGGCGGCGCAGCTACATCCACATGCTCCTGCACTACCTGGACGAGCTCGTGCGGCAGTGCTCCGTGCACGAGGTGCACGTGTGGGACTACGCCCGGGACAGGGAGGACGCGCGCTGGCTCCACGGGGCCGCCAAGAACCGCAGCGGTGCCGAGTGGCAGCTCATGTCCCATGCTGTGGAGGGGCGGGGCTGGGCCGACGTGTACGAGTTCTACGCCTCCCCAGAGGCGGGCGCCGCCCGCCCTCGGTGGCAGCCTCTGTCCGAGATGGCAGGGCGGGACAACACGGTGCTGGTGAAAGCAGACGACGACATCGTCTACATCGACGTGTCCCCTTTTAGCTGCCTCGATACGCCCGTTTTGAAGCGCAACACGTACCGTGCTGAACACGTCTTTGCCAATCTGTTGCGTGCTGGCTCAGCGTATTGGCCGACGTTTTGGTGAACGCATCGCGTCATACCTACATTTTCAGTGTACGTGTTGAGCTCCGTATCAGCACGCTTCGTGTTGCGTGTTGCGTATCGGGGCAGCTAAGGTCCAGCTTCGACTCCTACGTGGACTTCATCCGGTCGCACCGTGAGAAGTTCGTGGTCCACGCCAACGTTGTGAACAACGGAGTCGCCGCCTACTACCAGGCCAGGCACATCCGGGAGCTGGCGGATCGGATTCGCGGGCTTGACGAGTACCCCAGCTGGCAGGGCCGCCTGGGCGAGTTCGGCTGGCTCTTGGACGGGAGCGGGCGCGCCGCCGACCTCCACAAGTACTTCTTGCGCCACCACGAGAACTTCTCGTGGACGGAGGGGGACGGGTGCATCGTCTATGGCCGGGAGCAGGCGGCGAGGACCGGCCAGGCCGGGCAGGGGCGCTTCTCGATCAACTTCTTCGGCGCGCGCTGGTCAGAGTGGAACCACGTGCGCCGGCTGGCTCTCGACCCAGAGGGGGACGAGGTTGGGATCACGACCCGCGGTTCCGCCGAAGGTCGGGAGCAGTGCATCTTCACAGCCTTCAACGTCGCGCACTTTAGCTTCCGCGTGCAGAGTGTGGCCTGGGACGTCTACACCGCCTACGAGCGCCTGCTGGCCAGCGCGTAGGGAGGTCATGCCACGAGCTCGGACGCAGCATGGCGGAGCAGCACCACAGTGGCGACGTCTTGGGACGTGAGGTGGCCCGCCGCGGCCCGTGCGGTTGCCCCCCCCCCCCGCCCTTCGCCGCCTCTGCACGTCCTTCTGGACCTGTGTCGTTGGGCCGTCCATCGGGACGTATGCTGGCGCCCCGCGTCGCCCCGCCCTCGCCCCTCGCCGCCTCCTGGCGAGTTTGGCAGCAGTGCCCCGTCCGCCTCGCGGCCCCCCTGGCTTGTTTGGAGCCTGCGCGGTGCGTGCGTGCGCGCGCGCGCGTCTGGAGGCTGTCTCGAGCGGCCGTGTGCGCACGTGGACAGGGAAAAGGGCATCCCCCCCTCCACGTTCGGGACCTGCGTTTCTATTCAAGACGCTTCGCGTTCACCGCCCGCCCATTCCAGTTCTCGCCGGACGAGGCGAAGACGGCTCCATGACGGGATAAACATAGGCAGGAATTCATACAAGTCGTGTGCTTGGTTGTTTTTGTCCCGTCTTCTCTCTTCCTATGCTATCGCCTACTATGCTCAGGCATGCTTCGTGGCTGTTCGACAGTAGGTTTGTCGTGCTTGCTACTGTTAGTGGTGGTGGTGCTGCGGCTGGTGTTGCTGCTGGTGTTGCTGTTGTCGCTCCTGCTGGTGGTGCGGTGCAGTGCGGGTGCCGCTGCTGCTGTTGGTCCTACTTCTGCTGCTGCTGCTGCTGCTGGCGCTGCTGGCGCTGCTGGCGCTGCTGGCGCTGGTGCTCATGGTGCCGGTGTTAGTGCTGCTGCTGCTTGTGGTGCCGCTGCTGTTGTCAGTGGTGGTGGTGGTGGTGCTGCTGCTGCTGGCGCTGGTCGCAGTGGTGGTGCTGCCGCTGCTGGTGGTGCTTCCGCTGTTGACGTTGCTCTCTGGGGGGCCTGTCGGGGTGCTGCTGAGGCTCCGTCGTTGACCTCTTGGGGCTCCTCTGTGTCGGGTGTCACGCGCGCCCGATGTCTGAGAGACGTGAGTGGGCGCGCAGCGTTTTGTGTCAGTGTGCGGGCGTCAGCAGGTGTCAATGGCGGCATGCTCCCGTGGTGGGCTGGTGTCATGCGGTGGCGTGGCATTCCCGTAGTTTTGTGGCGCTTGTGCAGTCGACTGATCCGATGGTAGAAAAGGTGGCATGTTCCCGTGGTGGGCTTGTGTCATACGGTGGCGTGGCAGTCTCGTGGTTTTGTCGCACTTGCGCAGTCGATTGATCCGATGGCAGGGAAGGTGGCTCTTGAAGTGGGTTCTCCAATGGCTGACCAGATGACTGGCCCGAGGTGTGCCGTGGTAGATGTCTGGGTGCTTGTCCCGACGGTTGCCCGGATTCTTTTCCCGTTGCTAGTCTCGGCGGTTGCCCGAGCGGTTGGTTGCCCCGACGGTTGCCCTGGCGGTGATCCGGCCGGCAAGGCGCCAAGAAGGGCCGAAGAGGAACCCGAAAAGGGCCCCAAAAGAGGCTTATAAGGCCCCGAGGCGGTCTGGGGGAAGCCCAGGGCGGCTCAAGCGACAGCACTTCCGCGTTGGGTCGCAACCGCGTCCGTCTTGCAGTAAAAACCGCGCGGGGTCTGACCTGGTTTGGGGTCCGTTTTGCGGCCCAACATGGGCCCCGCAGCGTCCAAAATGGACCCCGGAGCGCGCCCAAAAACGGCGAACAAAAGGGAGTGATGAAAAATGACGCACGCGAGCCCGGAAGTCAACTGTAAGCAGCGTCCTGGACAGCCCCGGGGAAGCCGAAATCAGGCCAAAACCATAGTATTTCTTCTGTTTTTTTGGCATCCCCACGTGTCGGCGAGAATGAGCAACAGAGGCGCTGTCGAGGGCTCCGGGAGCGGATATTGGAGGCCAAGAAGGGGCCCCGACCGGGCCGAAATGGAGCCCACAGGCGCCCCGGCAGCGTCTTCAGAACGATACCAAGTTCGAGCTTGTCTTGGACGCCGTCGTGGAGCCGTTTTGGAAACCGAAAAAGGGCATTGCCGCAGCCGGGCGGCGGAATGGCGGAGGCCTCTGGGGGGGGAAAAAGGGGGGGGCTAAAGCTTTGTAATTAAATCCCACACGCCCCTCAGCCCGGTGGGTGGGCGGATTCAAGTGGCTTGCGCCATTCCGCCGACCCTCACAAGGAGTGAGTGTTTGAGACGATCGTGGAAGTTACATCTTGGGTCAGGGGCCTCCTGGATGAACCTGAGGGTCTCTTGGGATGCCTCTCTGGGGCCTCTTGGAAAACTCATGGGGACATGTGGGAGGCTTTCTGGGGCCTCCTGGGGGCCTCTGGGGTGCTTCTTGGGGGGCGTCTTGGGGGCGTCTTGGAGGCCTCCTGGGGCTTCTTGGAGGGCCCTCGGGGGCTTCTTGGGTGGCCCGTGGGGCCGTCTCGGGGCCCTCAGGGGCCGTCTTGGGCCGCCTTCGGGGGCCCCGGGGGGCGTGGGGCTGTCTTTGGGGCCTCTTGGGCGGTCTTGGGGCTTCCTTGGAGGCAGCACTGGCCGTCTCGGGGCGATCTGTTTGGCCATCTGGACCGTCGTTTTCGCTTTCAAGAGGATGCGGATGTGCTGCTGAACATTCACGCTTCCCCGACGGAATGCTGTGATTTTGGACTCGTGGGGCTTTCTCGGCGATCCTCTGGAGGCGCTTGTGGGTTGTCTTAGGGGCATCGTGGGCCATGTTGAAGCCATCTTGGATCGTCGTGGGGCTACCCTGGGCCATCATGACGCTCTCTTCGGCTGTCTTGGCGCTCTGTCTGGGCCCTGCTGGGCTGTCTTGAGGCTTTTTGGGGGCTCCCGAGGCCCCGTGGGTGCGTTGACGAGCTCGTGCCCCCTCCCCCCTCTAGAACGGCATGTTGGACCCCAGGGAAGGGGGAGGGGGGGGGGGGGGGGCAGCCAGATGTCTCACACGCCGTTCCCCCCTGGCAAGCGGGGGTCGGCGGATTTGTTGTTTGTCAGGGGGGTGATTCTTGCTATCTTTTCATACCTGTCTTTGATCTCGTAGGTCGTGCCTACCTGCGTTGCAAGGCATGGGTCTCATGGCTCCGTCGGCAAGGCTGGGGTCTCGTGGTTCCGTCAGTTTTTTTTGCGGTCATGCTATCATGATTATGTTGTTGCTCCTTCTCCTCATTCGTATTAGTATGCCTTCTTATTCTTTTTATTCTCCTTCTCGTGCTCCCCCATGCGATGGGGCCCTGGAGCCGTCTGCCCCACGTCTTCCGTGTGGACCTCGCGCACCCACTTGTCAGGCAAGGATGGAGGAGCCAGCGGTGAGGGGCCAGCGTTAAGGGGGATAGGCTGAAAGGGGGTTCGACAGGGTTCGAGGCTCGAGGTTTTCGGACGTTCCTGTCGGTACCTGGACGTTTCCCAGCCTCGGGATGCGCTCCAGCAGCTGCATCTCGCCGAGGGCGTATCGGGGGTGCCCGCATCGTCCCGAACGGCCGCCAGAGACCTGAGTTATGATCCGATAGTTTTAGAAAGCCCACCGTCCCGAACCCTGCCGAAACCCTCCGAACTTCCCCTTGGAACCCTTCCTGGAGGGTTCTTGGACGGCTTCGAGAGGGCTCCGGCCGTTTTGAGAGGAAGCCGGTCCCAAGCGAACCCTGAACTTTCTAAGGACAGTTGCTCCTTCCAGGGGGTAGGCTCAGGGGGGGGGATGCATCGACCCCCAGTCGCGCGTGGATCGCCGGCGGGGGCCTCGTAGCCCACTCCGGCCAGGGCCGTGTCCGGTCGCCGATCTGGTTCTCGGCGACGCGTCGCCGATTCCAGGTTGACGGCGGCGAGCGAGGAGGGGAAGCGAGAAGGAGGAGGCCTCCGCAGAGGGCGGGTGGCACTTCTCGGAAGCCCTCCGGCCTCCTGAGAAGATCTCTGCTGCGTCTTCGGTGGAGGCCAGGACATTGTTCACTTTTATTTTTTCTGAAGTTCTTTGTTTTTTTTTGGGGGGGGGCAAGATTCTTTCATTTCTAATTGTTCTATCCTGGGCCTCTTCCTGGCCACCAGGGGGCCAGGAACAATTAGTAACGAGCACAATTAGAACTGAGCACGATTAGAAATGAACGACGTGTACCGATGGACACTGTAACAGCGTTTCGGGGTTCTCACCGCTCCCCAGGTCCGCGCGCATCCACAGCGGTCTGCGCGCCCATCAGAATGGTTCCCGGGTGGCGAGCCGAAGAGTGTGGTTCACAAATCGTGTGCCTTTTGACGTCGCTGTCGTCACACCACAGCACCGGGCCCTCTCGAATTCGACCTTGAGCGATCGGGTCCGCGATCGACTCAGGACTGAACGATCGACGGGGTGTCAAAAACCTTCGCGCGCGCCGAAGCGCCGCGCGAGCCTGCCGTGGCGTTGCCCCTCCGCGGCGAGGGTTAAGGCGCCGTGGGCGAGAGCGCCCAGCCCGAGCGCGCCCCCTGCCGGGCTCCCGCGCCCTCTGGCGGAGGACCGTGGCCTCATACAGAGCCTGAGCGAGAAGAACATCGTGGAGGCTCGGCCTCGTCGTCGTCGTCGTCGTCGTCGTCGTCGTCGTCGTCGTCGTCGGCACCTGGTCTTCGTCGTTGGCACCTGGTCGTCGTCCGCGTCGTCGTCCCTCTTGTCGTCGTTTCCGTCGTCGTCGTCGAGGCACGGGGTTCGAGGTTCGAGGGTCGTGGGCCGAGGATGAAGATTCTGGGACGTTTCTTTGTTGCGCCCTTCGTGTTGTTTCTGGGCTCCCGGAGGCCTCGCAGCAGTTCCGAGGACCTCTCGCAGAGACCCTCGGAGACATGGGAGGGGGGGGAGGAATGGCGAGGCGCAGGGTGGCGCACAGGCGCACAATCGGCCCCGTTGCAGGGTGCACTTCGTTCCGATCGATGTCGATGTCGATGCCTATTCGATATATGTTCGATGGAGTTCGGCCACGCGCGCAACTTAGCATCGGACGTGTGCGTTTTGTCTCAGCGAGGACCATCGAGGATCATCCTGGACCATCTGGCCCAAAAAAGCACGCACGACACCGACAAATGCACGGGGAATGGACGTCCGAGCGATGGCAAGACAAGAAGGTAGAGGGGGAGGGAGGAAGGCTTCTTAGAAGCAACCCTGCTTCTTAGAAGGCGCGGGCCTTGTCTAGAGATGCAGGGCCGGCGCCTTCTAAGAAGCGGCCGTCTTCAAAGAAGCCTTCCCCCCTTCCCCCATACCCCCTTGTGCGCGCCGCCAAGACGTGGGCCATGCCGCCAGAGTCGCAGCCGGAGCGGGTCGCGCCCCAGTGCGCACGCCAGGTTCCATAGCCCATCTCGACCCGATTCGATATTGATTCTGGCCGGCTCGGTCCGATTCGATTCAGACCTTCCGACGATCCGAGGATCCGATGCTTCTCCTGAGA